GAAAAGACTGTCCGTGGCTTTGGCTAGGAATAAAAGGAATCCTGCTGGGGGCTGAGGTGGCGGGTGGCGGAGAGCAGGCAGCCCTTCTTAACTCCTAGGTTGCTAGTTGGAGTCCAGGCTGGTGCCCTGGGCTGGTCCAGCTCAGAATAAGAGAGAACGTGGTGAATTCAAACCAATCCGAGTCCCAGCGAATGACATCCTAGCGGCCTATGAACCAGCAGAGGTGATCACAAAACCTCTCTGTAAGGTCCTTGAGGAATCTTGGAAACCTGGCAAAGTGCCAGCAGGCGAGCCACTGTCAGCCCCACCTTCAAATATGGGCAGAAGAAGGAGCTTGGTTCAGACTTGGTAGCTTAATCTCTACGCTAGTAGAAGATTCCAAAATATCTACAAAGGTTGAAAGGAATTTAGCAGCTGAAATGGACAGTTCGGACACACAAAGTGAAAGTCCCAAAGGTTGGACGGGGGAGGCCTTACTTGGCAAAGGGCATCCGGTGCCCTGAAGATGAGCCTGGCCAGGCAATGTGCTGCAATTGCTAAAAGGGCCAATGGGTTCCAAGGACAGAGCAGAGTCTGTCCACCCCTGGAATAATTAAATCCAGTTTTGGTCACCGCATTTTCAGAGGTGTTTCCTCTGCCTGGAGCCTTTTGCCCATTCAACATTAACAGGAGGGCTTCCAAGAGGGTGATGGGTCCAGTAAGGAAGCGGGTAATGTGGCCCTTACAGAAATGTGCCAGGTTCCCCCTCAGCGGATGCCTTCGGATAGAGGCTGGGTGGCCCTTTAATGAGACCCTGTTTCCTAACACAAAACCGGCCTCTTGAGAAGGGGAAATTAAGCACAGCACCACACAGGATGGCACCCAGATCCTCATCCCTCCCCTCAAATGGCTCCCACAGAAAGGCCCAGACTGCGGGAGAGACCAGAGACCAAGCAGGATGGGGCCAAATCCCCTCCTTGCTCTTCAGGAGGAGGGGATGGGCTCCACAAAGGGAGAGCCACCCCCCCTTCGCCTCCCCGACCCCACCAAACACCAGTGGGGGTTTTGCCTTGAGGCCATCCCGGAGGCCCTAGGAGGAGGAATAGAGCCCCCCCCCCCGGCCAGGCAATAGGGCCAGGCCCTTTTCTTAAAGTCCAGCTGCCTTCGCTCAGCCAGCGGGCGTGGGCCGGAGCCCTCGGGCTCGCTTCACCCAACTGGCTAACTGGGCGCCTGCAATGAAGAACTGGAACCTCCCCGCTCAGAGGCAGTCTATCGCTGAGCTCCACCAGGAGCGGGGCTGCCTCTGTTCCGGCGGGGGCGTTTGGAAGCGGGGGCTGGAGCTGTTCTGGAGTCCAGCGGGCAGCCTTGAAGCCCCCTCCCCCTCAACCCAACCCCGAAGCTCGGCGGGAAGGACCGTCGCCTTCACTCTGCCTTCCAATCAGCAGCGCCCAAAGCATCCCGAGGCCGCCCGCTCCCGCTCCCGCCTCGGTCGCCAGCCCGCCAGGTCTTCGGCCGCCTTCGCGACGGAGCTTCCCGCCGAGCTGCAGCGAGGCGGAGCTGGCCGGCCTCTGTCGCCGCGCCTGCCCGGCAGCCGGGAAGCGAGAAGAGCCGCCTGTGTCCCGCGCGCCGCAGCCCGCTTCGTCTCAGGCAGAGGCCCGGCTCCCCTGGCCGCCCTGCCCTCCCGCCGCGCCCCAGGGAAGCTCCCCCGGCTGACCTGCTCCGTCCAGCCGCTCCTTCCGCCGCTGGCAGGCCGAGACAAGGGCCGCCCCGGCCGGCCTCTCCGTCACCCCGCCCCGTCCTGACGGGGCCTGTCCGGGGGCGTCCTGAGAGCGGCGGCTCTAGTCCAGGGCGGGACGGAGCGGGATGCCTTCGGGAGCGACGGAACTTTCCGACCGCAGCCGGCGCCGAGCGAGGCCGAGAGGGTCTGGAGGATTGGGGAGCCGCTGCGCCGTCCCTGTTTCGCCAGGGCTGCACGAGAAGCGGCGGGCGGGTCGGTCTTCTCCCCCTCCTCCCCCAGGGCACCTCTGGCCTCCGCGCTTGTGGGCTTCGCAGAGTCCTTCCTTGCACCCAACCCGGAAAGGCCCCGAAGGCTTCCTCCGAGGGCCTCACGGAAAGGTTTTGTGCCGAGGAGGTGAGCCTGGTGGGAGCTGGCCTTGTCCTCCTTCCTGGCCCTGAAGGGCAACCCAATGCCTGCGCCCGCTCTCACCTCTGCCAGCCCACTTTGCTGGAACACCCAGCAGGACCACAGAACCTGCAACCACCCAACCTTCCAACTGTTGGCCTCCAAAAGGGGAAATGTTACCTTTGCAGATGACGTTGGTATGCTTGACTACTTTTGATAGAGCCAGCACTGTGCTGATGCTGCCCTTCTGGGCAGAGGTAGCCTTGGGGCACAGCCTTATGATGGTTGTCTTTTCTCTGTGGCTGGTTTCACTGGGGGCAGGGGTGTGTGTGGATTTTTGGGATACCTTGGGGCTGGATACTCTTCACTTCCTACTTAGCATGAAACCCCCTTGGAGGCCCTTCATCAGCTACAGGTCATCTAACATCACAGGACACTGATGATAGTTGTTCAGGTCATCCTTGACTGACCAAGATGTGAGGTTTGAGCCCCATAGAGGTTTGAGAACACATCCAAGTCAAGACAAGGATATGGAGGGAAGAACGACCCTTCAGGGCTGGTGTAGCTCCTTTTTATACAGTTAGAAGCATCCTCACTAGCCTTATCAGCCTTATCTCTTTCCTGTTCCCACGACTGGCCATTTGAGCCCCTGTTCTTAAGGGCACAGATCGAAAGTGAGAAACGTTCTTAGGCAGAAGGGGGACATATCGAAGGTGTCAGTTTTACAGGCCTTTACAGCTCCATTCCAGGATAAGTTCTATGCTCATAGATTGCAGATTGGTAAGGAGTCCACATGGATCACCGGTTTTGCCAGAGATTCTACAGGCCCTAATAGCAGCGCCACAGGAAGTCAGTTGCAGGGAACAAATGTTTCTACTAAAACCAACACGTTTGTACCCTTATTTACTATTCCTCTTCAGAGAGATGTTGCCCAAGTCCTGGCCCTTGCCAGGGGCTGCGGTCTGAATTGGAAGGTGAAGCCTGCGGGTCATTCCCAATCCTTGCCCCTCCGGGTCGGGCAGCCTTATTTGAAGCTGGTGTGCAACCTGGCTGGACTCTCCGCTTCCTCTCCAGAAGCAAGAAGGCCTTGACACAGGCGCAAGCCAAGGATCTTCCATTCGTGACTCGATCACCTTGTATGTGGAGTGCTACCATGCGCTGTGGGTGGTGCTGCCCTTGAAAGCTGCGGCTGGTGCAGGCAGAATCTGGGGCATGAGCAGTGATGCCCAAATCACAGCCTTCCGTGGGAGCTGCACTAGTTGCCGCTTGGCTTCTGGGTGCAATTTGAGCTGCTTACCACAAAACACTTCATGGGCTCGAGCCGAGCCGAGACCCCCCGTCTCCCGTGGTCTGTGCTGATGCTGTGCACCCCAACAAAGGTGTGCTAAGGATGGTCACTCAGTGAGATCCCGGCCTTCCTTCACCTGGAGACCCGCCTCTCCCGCATTTTGCCCAATCCCAAGCCTTCTTTAAGAATGGCCTTTCCCCCAGGCCCTGGGCTGAGAGGGGCCTCTTGGAGCTGGCGAGACTTTGCATAGCCCAGGACTTCCACCAGCAGCCTCAGGAGGACATAAATCCTCTCTGCTAGTGAAGCCATAAAAAGATGGACAAGCAGCAAGACCAAAAGGCTCGCTTGCTTCTTCCCTTTGGATGCGGATTGTTTTTTTTTTAAGGAAAGCGCTAGACTTAATACCTCTGGACAAGCTTGATGAGGCTGTCCGTTGACCTGAACAAGAGGCCTGGGAGGATCACAAGCAGGACAGAGGCAAGCCCTCCCCCCACCAGGTATCCCGCCCTGCTCTCTCGGGGAGAGTCAGCCACTGGCATGGGCTCCTTATTGCCTTTTCCCGAGGGTGCAGGGCGTTCCATGCCAGTGCTTTCTCCGCAGGCCCCGGCCCAAGTCCTTCTGGGTCAGATGTAGCTGATCTGGTTGGGCAGTGGAAGATGTGATCTGAGCAGCCTCCCGCTCGCCTTCCTTCATCCACCGAAGAAGCTGGTAAGTGGAAACTAGATGGATGACATCCCACTTAGGCATTTGCAACTTGCCCTTTAGGAAAAAAAAATTCCCCAGGGGAGCTTAGAATCAGACACAGAGTGCCTAAACTGTGTGTTTAGGAAGACTGAGCCGTAGGACAAGAAAAACCACAGCCCTAATTTAGAAAAAACCCTGAATGGCAGCATGATAAAAATCAACATTATTTTTTAAAGGCTTGGGAGAACAAAAGTGCACTGACCTGGCCCTAAACAGAATAAAACTGGCATCATGCGCCTGTGTCATTTCAGGGGATGCCCCACAGGAGGGCATCCAGACTGAGTCCCCCATGGTGCTCTCTGAGGTATTTATTTCATTCCTATAGGGTCCCTCTCAACAAGGGTTCCTTTCAGCCCTGGGCCCCAAGTCCCTGGCGTGGGACCAGAGAGGTGGCTATGAGCGAGTCTTATCTTCAAAGCGCCCGGGTCCAGTCCGTATGGCATCAAAACAGCCTCCCGAAGCCCTTGGAAGGACGCCGCTCCAAGCAAAGGCCCGCAGCTGCTGCTCCGGCCCCGGGCCAGAGATCAGGAGGACGCTTCAGCCATCGAGGCTCCATCTCCTGCCAGGCCAGGGCCAAGAGGCTCCGGTCGCCCGTTCTTCAGATGGGCCGGCCTGGGCAGCCGCCTGCTTCCCCAAGGGGCGCGTCCGGAGCCACAACGCGGGCGAAGCTGCTTCCTTCCAGCGGGACTTGGCGCTCGGCACGTGCTCGGAGCCGCCGCGCCTTTCTTCCGGACCCGCGAGCTCGCGCGCAGCTCACTCCGGGGGAGGCGGAGCGCGTGACGCGCCCTCCAGCACCCCGCCCTCTTCCGACGGACCCGGAGTGGCTCTGCTTCGCCGCCGCCGCCCGCCGCCGCCCTGCCCAGGCTCCGAATGGACCCCCCGGTGAAGTCGGGGCCGCTCCTGCTCCAGCAGCCGTCGGGTTTGCTCCTGGGGGCCAAGGTAGGCGCGCGAGGCGGGGGTCTCCGCTCGGGGGGGTGCCCTGCTCCTGCGCGCCTTCCTCTTCCCGTGCAGCCCGGGGAAGGAACGGCTGGCCCCTTGCCCAGCAGCCGCCGCCGCCGTCTCTTTCGCTCCCGCCCTGCGGGGGAAGCGCTATTCCTTCCTGGACGGCGCTGCCCTCCGCTGGGAGAGTGGCCGGGCAGGACCCTTCCGCTGTCGGGGAGGAAGCCGGGCGGGCTCGCACTTCCTGCTTTTGGGACCGCGGGGCTTTGGCCCGCCAGTTGGAAGAGCGGCTGAATTCGGAAAAGCCGTCGCTCCCAGGAGGAGGCAGGCGCCGGGCACAGTTGCGAGGAAGACCCTCCGGCTGGGTTGCAACCCCCGGGCTGCTCGCCTCCAGGGTTTCCCCGCAGCCCACCCGGAGAGGCTTCTCGGCCTTTTGCGGACGGGGGAGGGGCAGAAAAAACCCACCCCTGGCTCTGCTTCGTGTATCGGGATGTTCGCCTACAGAGCTTCCCGCTGAATAGCGCAGATCCGGCTCTTCAAACTTCTGCAGAACCGGTGGGGGGTGGGGGGGCGTTTCCTGGCAGGCAGAGGGCGGTGCAACGTTTTCTCAAAGGCAGGCAATTTTCTCTCGCCAGAGCCTCTCGCTTGAGGGTTCCTGGAATTTTTCTTCAGCTGCCCTGTGGCACAACTTGTAAAAGTTTGAAAACTGCTGGTGTACACAAGGAATCCATGCTGCAAGCATCGCCCTTTATTGAAACAGTGTAAGAGAAAAGGGGGGGGGGCATGAGCTGTCAGGGCCCAAAGATCTTTCTGAATGTGGGGGATTAATCTCCCCCCCTTGGGAGGGGTGTGTGTTCTGTCTAGAAACCCAGAGCAGAAGAAAGCAGCTTTCTGCCTTTCTGGCCCAGAGGTTAATTCTCAAAGGAGCAAGAGGCAGCCGACGTCTCTGGCAGGGGTGGAGGAGGGTTGCCAGGACTTGGAGTAGGAAGCATGGCTGCTGGTGGCTGCTTTGCCGCTTTCCGGTCCTCCCTTCGGCCTTCCTTACTAGGTGGCTGGCTCAGTCTCTGCCTCCCTTTCTCCTGCTCCAGAGTAGAAGGTGGATTACTGAGGTAGTTAACTTGTCATCTTTAATTCTGGTCAGTTGCTCGCTCCTCTTTTATTTTTTTAGTCAATCTATGTGGCTCCCCATCTAAAGGTAGATCAGGTCAGGGAATCAGTTCCGCAGGAAAGAAGGCTGCAGCTACTGTTACTGAGATTGGCTCTAATATCAGAACCTTGCAAGTCTAATTGTGCTGTTCCTCGTCCTCTTTGAACTCCTGGGAATCAGAGGCTGCTTCCAAATGTTAGCTCACAACTCCGGACTTAAAATGTGTTCAGCTCCCTTTGCATAGATAACACTTTCTGTGCATATTTCTGTCCAGGTCATTATCCTTACTCTGTACTTCATGCGCATCGCACCCTTTGTCACCAGGCGGCTTCTGAGTGCCATTCAGGGTGCTGGCTATCAACTGTGAAGCCATGCACAAGGTCCAGCTCTGCAAAGGTGGTTTTTGCCCAACTGATAAGATCCTGGTCCTGTCAATCAAGTAGTGCCATCTACAATACCTGCCCTTTGGAACAGCATCAAATGTGCTTAGCCCCCCCAGCTTACTGGTTTTAAAAGGGCCTCTTTCCTCAGGCCTTGGGTTGAGGGAGCAGAGTGTCCTCTGAAAGTTTAGGTTAAAAATAATGTTTGGGGTTTCTTATTGGTATTTTACCTGTATTCAGTTTTTTAGTCTACCTGTTCAGAGCTGGTGCAGAGTTGTATGGCCTGACAAGTTTAATAAAATAAAACTACTTTTAGGTAGTTACTAGAGAGAAGCTAATTAGCTTTGGAAATGGCAACCGGGACTTCCCATTGGATGAAATCATTTCCCGAGAGGCATTTATGTCAATGCCAGAGGGCTGAGGCCCAGGATATGGGTCAGGAGCAACCATATTCGCACAAAGGAAAGCTGGTAGGATGGAGAAGATGGTTGATTGATATGGCACTTCTGAATTTGACATCTTAAGGGAGATCAGGAAAGGAAGCTGTGGGGTGTTGAGATGACAAGTAAGCAGGAATCTTCCAAGGGGGCAGCTGCTCCCAGACTGCCTCAAGCCCTCCGACTGACTTAGCCTTCTCCAGCACTCTGGGAATGGAAAGGCAGTGGGAAAAGGAGAGAGAAAAAAGAGGGAAGCAGCAGTTTTATTCCCCAGACAGAAAGACTCCAGGCAATATTGAGTTGCAGCACAAAATCTGAAATGGTTTATCCCTGAGGTCACATATTATGTCCCAAATGTGGCTGTATTTTATCTAATAAATATTACTAAGTGACGATCCTCCACCCAACTACGCTAGATAGCTTTGGACGTGACCCTGAATGACATCCAGGACTGTTTGCAAAGTAGAAGAGCTACTGAACTGATTGGAAACTGATCACAGTGGCCACAAACACAAGACATAAGTAAGCCAAGGAACTGCAAAATAGCCCTTGTTGGTTTTAAAAGAAACCTATCTAGAAGGGGAAGGGGAGGAAGGGATAAGGGAAGGTTGAGAGGCCCTCAGCAACCGCCTCATGTCTCGGGGATGGTTCCTCTGCTGTCCACCTCAAGCCTTGTCTGCCAGCGTTTCTTCTCCTCAGAAGCAAAGACCTAGAAATGGGGCAGGTATTAACATTGAATTCTTGCTGTAAAAGGGGGTAGAAGTCTTCATGGTCCTGTCCCGACATTGGCGATTGATGAAATGCCCAAGGATTCAGAATTAGTGGGGGAACGTTTTGAGGACTCCCCAAGGAGGAAACAGGCTTCTGAGCAGTAAATGCAATTGCATGAAGGCAGGCAGGCAGGCAAAAGGCTCCTCATATCCCTGATGGGATCTGAGATAGAAAGAGAAGGATCCTTGAAACCCTGTCAATGAGAAACTCCTCTGAAAACGGTATGCAGTTTTTTCCTCTCCTGCCAACAAATAGCTGATTTTGTCGCCAAAGCCAGTTCTTTGCTGGCCCTCTCCCCAGATTTGAAGGAGAGCAACTAGAAATGAGCAAAGGTGATCCTCAGAGGTCTGTGGGCCTACTGGGAAGAGCAGTCTTGATGGTTGCAAATTCTTGGTAGGAGCAGCCAGAGGGTCTCCATCCTCTCTTTTCAGCTGTTGGTTACTGCTAAGCATGCCTCAGTTTTAACTGAGTTTTCCCTTTTCATTTTGATCTTTAGTTGACTGGTTGAATGCTGATTTATTCTAACCTTTGCTGGATTAATGTGAATTTGTGTTTTTTTTTAAATTGCTTTATTTTGCTGTTGCGGAGCACTCTCCACATAGGAGAATCGACCCCACCCCCTATTACCTCGAGAAGGGCAAATTCCACCTTGGGGGGTAATTTGGAAAGGCTTTTTCTCTTCTTGATCAAAACCTGCAAATTGTAGAGCCAGTGGAAGGGACAGGAAAGAGCCACTTGAGCAAGCAAGGGCCTAAGTTGTTCGATCCTTGGGCTTTCGGCTTAGATGGGCAAAGTGGCTGGGTGGTCTGATCATACTGTTTATCCTCTCAGTCTAGCAAGAAAATGTGGTTCAGGGCCAGGGAGAAGAACAAGAACCCAGTTTGGCTGTGAAATTTCTATCCCAAAATGAGTTGCCAGTTTTTTTGGTTAGGGGATTAGACCAGCCGTGGAAGAGAAATCCAGCTCTGGCTTCTAGATAGGTGGAGGAGGCATCAGCAGTTGGGGAAGAAAGCGGTGGGCTGTTTCCTGTATCTTGTTGGTCTCTCTGGAATTAGAATTGTCCAATCCAGCTTCTGGGTCTGCAGATGTTTTTTAAGAAACATCTTAAGTTATTTATTAATTATTTGAGTACTAATTATTTGAGTACTTTTTCTCCCCTTTGTTGGCCTCTGATTTATTTCTGAATCACATGCTTGAAAAAGGTGAGAATTGTAAATTCTGCCACTTTTACTGTGTTTGCCACTAGCCATCTGGCATTTAAGATAATTCAATCCCTGCTATGGAAGGAAGAAGCGCAGGGACATATGCTGGATTTCTCATTATCTGGTGGATCCTCAGTTCCGTTGCCTTTATTGTCATTGCACCTCTCAGATTTGCTCAGAGTGGGGGTTCATCTGGATAAGCCCAGTTGAGGTGTCTGGAGCATTTTATCTGGGATGTGTTTGATTTTGACTCCCGATGAAGTAGATTTTGCTAGATCTGGGTTTTTAAAGTCGCCTGGGAGGCGGCCTCTGCTTGGATCCCTATCATGCTGTCTGCTTCCCTGGGACGGGAGCTGGTTGCTTCAGCTCTGAAGGAAGCCTTGGTGTGTGCTCTCCATTTTAGGGAAGTTGCAAAGAGGTTGGCTAGGGAGAAGCCCCAAGGGATTCGGGAGGAAAGGGATTATCTGGAGCCAGGTTTCAGGCGGGGAGAGAGCATGCTTGCTGACGACCTTTGGCAGAACAGGAATGGGGACGAGGTAGCCATCCTTGATCTCTAGGCAGCCTTCAAGGCCATGGATCACAGTGTCCTCCTGGAAAAGCGGAGGGGGTTGGGAGTGGTCCCATCCATTCGATACTGGGGGGGGGGAAGAAGTCGAGTCCACCGCCCCTCAGTTGTGGGGGTGCCACAGGGCTCCAAACTCCCACTTTCAACATATCTACATGACACCATTGGGTGAGGAAATGATACATCTTGACCCCTTGATGGCTTTGAGATCCTGTCCCAAGGCCTGAATAGGGTAGAGTTTACTCGGGCTCAGTCCTGATGCTACTGAGTGGCAGCAGAAATCAGGACTCCCGGTTCTGGGGACTTTCCATGTTTTATTTTAGATGGGGCTGCATTTCCTCATTCGAGACTGTGGTGCCCTTTGGGGGCTGCCTTAGAGCTCCTGCTTAAGGAGGAGCAGGAAACTGCCGAGTATCATCAGCCTATTGATGATATCTCAACTCTTGGTGGCGGATGACCTGACCCCGTGGCTTCGAGTTAAACAGAGGACCGAGCCCTGTGAGTGGCCGAGGGCTGGAGCTCTAACTCCTTGTCAACTCTGGTTGGGGTCGACCCTGGGGAAAGGAGCTGAACTAGTGCCAGCCCCAGCTCTCCCCAAAGGTCGCTGAAGGCAGTTGAGAGGTCAAGGAGAGGGAGAATGGTTGCCCCCTTCCCGCTCCTGCCACAGATCGTCCACGAGTGCCTCTCTGTCCCATCGTCAGGCCTGACTCCGGACGGAAAGGGGCCCAGGGAATCTGTTTCATCCAGGAACCCCCCACCCCTTTTGGCTGCCCCCCTCTGCCCCGCCCTTGATCTGCTGTCACAGTCTGTCTCTGTTTGCAGCGGTGGAAAAAAAGCTGGTTTGTGTTGTACCCAGCGAGTCCTCATGGAGTTGCCCGTCTTGAGTTCTTTGACTGCAAGGAAGGGGCTGCTCCAGCTGACCGGATCAGTACCAAGAAGCTGGACAAGAAGATTGTGAGGCTGGCAGACTGTGTGAGTGTGGCTCCTGCCCTGGACTGCAGCCCCAAGGACGGCTTGGCTGCTTTCTGCCTGGAGACCAGCAGCCGCACCTACGTCTTTGCCTCTGAGCCACCGGAGGCGGCTGACTGGATGGCCAAGCTCTGCGAGGCAGCCTTTCTGGTGAGCGGGGCTGGTGGGCGGTGGTGGAAGGGGGAGGGAGTAGCTAAAGCAAAGGTAGAGCTAAGCATTCTGGGCGCAGACCCATCCAGGCGGGATACGTTTTCGGGTGGAAAAGTGGACAGAGGGCCACCACAGCCAAAGCAGCCAAAGGGAAGGAGGGAAAAGAAGCTCCGGAGAAACTGACAGCTGGGTGGTACATGCAGAGCAGTGCTGGGTTACGACCGGTAAGCCCCGGTATGGGTGCACCGGGTACCGTTCTGGTACGGTGCTNATCCGTCTGCCCTTCCTGCTGTTGGGATGGCAGGGATCCTGCTTGGTTAGTGGGAGAGCCCGTCCCAAAGGCCGGGAGGTGCTCCGGGTGTTAGGTCAGAGCCCCTACTGGGGGGGGGGGGCTTTGTGCATTTGCCCTTCTAAGCAGCCATGTTGGAGCCCCCCCTGCCTCCTGGGCCGGTTCCTTGCTGCCAGGCCCACATTTGTCCCCGCCCTTCCCCGTGTCCTGTGCCCCTTGATACCTGGCGGGGCCACTGCCTCGGTGCCCAGCGCTGAGCCCGGGAGGTGGGCAGGCGGCCCAGGCACCTCTTCAAGGCCTGATACAGATGACCGGTCGCCCGCAGGGGATCGTAGTGTGCTTCAACCTCCAGGCCGCCAAGGACGCCCTGCAGCGCAAGAGGCTGGGTCGGTCCCAGGGGAAGGCAGGGGTGGGGTGCGGGTGCCCCATCCCTTTCCCGGGTTCTCCTCATTTACCTCCATTTGAGCGAGTGCTGCTTCTGGCAGCTCAGCTGGGAGGGGAGGAAAGCTGCAAGGCAGGAGCAGCTCTCGGGCCACTACCGGGCGCAGCAGCAGGGAGCAGGAGTCCGAGGGCAGCAGGACCTGGAAGGTGCTGGCTGAGAGGCCTCCACTGAGATCTGGCCCAGCCCAAGCCTCGTATTTGGCAAGCAGCAGCCATTTCCTCCTCTGGAAGAGGAAAGCGATGTGCGTTGTGCCAAAGCAGAGTGATGATGCTCCTGCCTGGTGGGCGTGAGGTGCCACTGACACGCAGCCAGCAGGACAGCTGGCCTGAGGAGGCCCCCCCCTCTGCCCCAAAGGCTTGGTGGCTTCGGGGCGGTTGGCAAGGTGGCCTTTCTGGACCCCCCCTCCCCTTAGGACTCACTTGCAGGCAGTGGCAGAAGGCTTGGAAACTCTGCTGGTTGGTCTCCAGTTCATCCCAGCTCAGCTGCCAACAGCTTGTGGGCCTTACGATTAGAGGGAGACCCAAAAACATGGATGCACAGACTCCGTCAGCTTTCAGGGCCCTGCAACAGGGAAGCGGGTCACTGGGCTGCTGCCCCCATCAAGCTACTGACTGAGGATCCAGGGAGGCTGCTCAGGGAGATCTTTGCAAGGAGGCCACTCAGTGGGGACTAAGATGTCCTGCTGATGGGTGGAAATGCGCCCCCCCAGCCAAAGTAGCCCCTGCAGCCCCTCCCTCCCCCGCCTGCCTCAGTGGGGGCTGACCCTGGAGGGAGGGGCAGGAGCTGTGCTGACCCTTGCCTGACAGATACGGTCAGTTAGGTCGAAGGTGGGTCGGAGGAAGAGGGGGGCTTATCACAAAACCCTTTTTACTCCCTTCCTCGAAGGCAGCTTCCAGAAGGGGAGGAGCAGCCTGTGGGGAGGGGGGCGGTTTCTGGTGAACTGAATCATCCAAAGGAGGAGGAAAGGGGGGAGGGGGGGAGCCGACAGATGGGCTCCAGGTGATTCAAATACTGCAGAGCCCCAAATGCTGCAATCGGTCCTTGCACAAATGCTTGGAAGTGGAGGGCAGGCTGCCTCCCCCCACCCCCTCCCTGGGCAAAATCCCCATGCTTGGCTGGAGAAGGTGGCTGAGCTGTGAAGCCCGTGTCCTTGTCTTGGCCAGGCCTACAGGAGCCTCCCCTTCCCTAAAGCGGACACCCCTGACTGATCAGGCAGGCTGGGCTTCCAGTCCCTTGGCGAGGTCTCAGATTTATCTACGGCTGGGGTGGGTTCAGCCCTAAGGACCTTCCCATTTGGGGAAGAGGAAGCAGCAGTGCAGGAATGGAAGACCGAGTTCAGCAAAAGAAGAGTTGGGGCTGCTCCAAGTTCTTCAAAAGGGCTTTTCTGTAATAAACCTTCAGGTTCCTGGTTCTTGCATGTCTGCCTAATTGCTTCCAGCCCAGCCTGTAGGGCTTCTTCCAAAGGCCCCTTTCCAGACGGCCCCCTAACGCGCTTTCCTGGGGCTTCAGTGGGTCTCGGGGGTCCGTTGGGCTGGCTGTTTGTGCCGCTCCGTGGGCTGAGCCTGAGCGGGGTCTTCGGGGCCCTCCCTGGGGGCCTGGGCTGATTCCTTCCATAAACGTTGCCTGGAGAGCTTGGGTGTGGGGCAAGCTCTGCGTGGGGCTCCTCCAGCTCACAGGCAGACCAGCCGTCCGGACCCCCACTGGACCCCCACTGGCCGCAGGGACATTCTGTGGGCTTTCAGCTCCCCTGTCAAAAGCTCTGGGCTCTGGGCTCCAGAGTGCCCGGCTGCTTCGGCCAGGAAGGGCTGCACATCCATGCTCTCCGTGGGAGGGAGGGAGGGAGGGAGGGGGCGCCCCTTTTGTCTTGGCAAGTGGCATTCTGAGAACGTCCCGGAATACTTTGCAGTGCCGCCACCTGGCAGAGGCAGCCTGGAGCCCTTGGTGAGAGCAACGCAGAGCCCAGGAGGCCGATTGGGGAATGAAGTACAACCACGTGGCTGGCATGCCCGCCCCCCGTCTCCCAGCCCCAGGGTTAAAAGAAAAGTGGGGGGGGGGGATCTGCCGTTCCTTGCAGCTTCCTTTCCAGAGCTGTTATTCCACCCTTGGACAAGTAGGAGTCCCCCGGCTGAGACTTCCCTTCCTGACCCCCCCAACGCCACTTCTGCTGCTTCCGTCCTAGATCCCTTTCCCAAACAAAACTGAACCTGTGATTTATGAAAACAGAGGCATTGCCAAGAACAGCCAGTAGTTTCCCAGCCGCTGTGCTGTGATTTCTCTGCGCTGATGCTACGGTGCTACCGAGCGCTTGCGGAGGGGGGAGAGGAGGCCTCTGGAGCAGCTTCTCTTGGCGGTGGGGGTGGGGATTGCCCCCCTTCTGCGCACACCGCCTTGACACAAGCCAGGGCTGACTAGAGGTCTGCCATGCATCCCTCCAATGACACTTCTTAGGCGATGAGTTCTGGGATGTAAGACAAGTGGTTTCCAGAAAGATTGTGGTCCATGGAATTGATATACTGACCACCAATCCTCCCCACCCCCCACCCCCAGGCGTGTGATACACAAGCCAGGGATCCAGTCTGTCACGGCCAAAATGACCGGTGTGTGTGTGTGTGTATTGCCCCAGAACTGCACACAAATGTCCCTGCACCAGATTTGCACCAATGGAGGGAGGTGTGTGTGTGTGTGTGGGGGCTATTCCCAGCTCTAACTGGGCCATCAGCAGCAGTATTATCGAAGCCCAGCAGGCCGCCTTCAGGCCAGAGCTCTGCCNCCTGCAAGGGAGGGACTGGCAGTGCCCGGGGGCCTCCCTGCAAGGACAGCCCTCCACGCTGACTCTCCCCTTGGCTGCAGTGAATGAGTTCTGGGTCACCGTGCAGAAGACGGAAGCGGCCGAGCGCTGCAAGCTGCAAGGGAGGTATCTGCTGAAGGCTTCTTGGAACGAGCTCATCCTCAGAGAGGCCCCCTCCAGCCTGCCCCTCTACACGTGGCCCTATCGCCTCCTCCGCAGATACGGCAGGGACAAGGTGAGACCTTTGGGCAGGAAAGGAGTTGGGCCTCTGGGGTTTTGTCTTCTCCCTCCCCCCTGCCCCCCACCCCGAGAGACCTGGGAAGTAGGGTAGCTGGACTCACTGAGCCAGAGGGGGACAAACCTCTCCCCGGCGCTTGCTTTGTGAGGGTGGGCTCCTCGGGGGCTGCCCTACTTGCGCCCTGGTTGACCACAGCCCCACGCGTCCCTTCCACAGGTGATGTTCTCCTTCGAAGCTGGCCGCCGTTGTGAATCGGGTGCCGGCAACTTCACTTTTGAGACCAAGCAGGGCAACGAGATCTTCCACGTGGTGGAGGCTGCAATCCAGGCCCAGAAGGCCCAGGTGGAAGAGCATCGGCAAAGCAGCAGCTCCCTTGAGATGGAGGCCCCCGGCATCTTCTCCCTCCAGAATGCCATGGCCAACTCCCTCAGCCTGGAGGGCGAGGGCACGGCTGCTTCTTTGGAGAGACGGGCGCCCAGGGGTGCCCTGGCAGCCAGGGCCAGCGTCGCTGGGGAGGGGAAGGAGGCCACCGTGCCCAAAGGGCAGAACCCGTGGCTGAGCTCCCCCTCGCTGCGGCCCTCCCTCTCCGGGACGGCTGGCTCTTTGGAGGACACCAGCAACGTCTACTCTGAGCCTCTGGATGCGTTGAAGGGCACGCGGCTCCGCCCAGACTCCCTGTACGCTGACCCCCTTGACAGCCAGTGGCAGGAAGAAGGTCCAGGCCGGGGTTCCAGCCTGGCAGAGGAACAGCCCAGGGCACGGACGGGCGAGGGCCACGGGCTGCCGAGCGACAAGCAGCACATCTATGATGAGCCTGAAGGAAGGGCCCCGTGGCCCACCCCTGCTTCGGCCGCCATTTACGACGAGGCACGCCTCCCCTGCGAGGCCTGGCGGACTCAGGGCTTGGAGAGCCAAGCTGGCTATGAGTTGCTGTACCTTCCTGGAACCGGTGATTATGCCGTCCCTGCCTTCCACCAAAAGGCCGGGCTGAAACCCTCCAGGCCTAGCCCTGCCCCCAAGCCTCCCCGGGCACACAAGAAATCTGCTCAGCTGGAGGCCAGTAAGCCCAGAGCGGCCCCCACCCCGGGCCTGGAGGGGGCCTGCAACAGCAACAACAGCAACAACGCCAGCGACCCTCTCTACAGCCGCGTGATCAAACCACCCTCGGCCCCTGGCCCTTTGGGACCTGAGCAATCGGTGGACGAAGGCCGGCCGGCTGCTGTGTATGAAGACCTGGGGGAGATCTGAGAAGGGACCCCGAGCCGGAGCAGCCTTTCCAGGGGGACCTTCTGCAGGCTGCCAGCTGGGGAGGGGGGCCGGCCATGCAAGTGCCTTCTCGGAAGAGGCAGGCCGAGAGCCCAAGTGACAGCAGCATTGTTGGGCACAAAGGCTGCCTCTTTCAAGAGGGCCCCAACCTAGCCTGAGGGCCACACAGACCAAGGCATGAAGCCACTGGGTGGGAATGGCTGTCAAAGGTAGGACGGACCCCCTCCTGGCCTCCGGGACATGGCTTCTTTGGGACTGCGGCCTTCGGCAGTGAGCCCAGAAAGCCTCCATGGCGCCTGGCAAGCCATTTAGGAGGTTGGCGCTTCCTTCGGTTGCTGCTGGGGAGAGCCTCTGCTGGCCCACTGCCAGCCTCACAGCCAGGTTGGAGGCAGCCTGCGTGGTGGGCTGAGGCTCCCGGCTCTGTGTCTGAGGCTGCCCTGCCTGCAGGAGGCTGAGAAGGGGTCCTGGGGCAGCGGAAGCCGCGCTGGGTGTGTGTGTGTGTGTGTGTGTTGTGGGAAGGCGCTGAAGGAGACACTTGCTCGCTCAGGCTGTCACAAGGTGGTTTATTGACACAGAGCAGAGGATGTGGCTGAGCCAGGGCGGAAGAGGGCCGAACAACGGAAACCAGGAAGTGCCACAACCCCCCCTCCCCCTCCGCTCGCTTCCGCATGGAGCCCAGGCTGGTGGAAGTGGGGAGAAACCGGCAGGTTGGCCCCAGCGCTTGTGGGGAACATCTAACACACACAGACCCCCGTCCTCCCTGGAGTCTTCTGGGTGAGGGTGGGGAGGGGCAGGCTGGCTCTGAGGCTGTGAGGGCGGCAGAGTCTTCCCTCTGTGGCCAAGGCTGCTACATCTCAGGCTCTGGGATCACCTTTCCTTGGCTCAGAAAAAGGGGGCGGCTGCCGGAGCCAGCAGGCGGGAGAGCCACCTGCAGTGGGGCCACTGTGGCCCTGGCCCTGCTGGGATGCACACGACCACCGTGCTGTGGGGGAAGAATCTCCGTCACTGCTGGGGCAAAAGTCTGTGTGTCCATCCATCCGTCTGCCCTTCCTGCTGTTGGGATGGCAGGGATCCTGCTTGGTTAGTGGGAGAGCCCGTCCCAAAGGCCGGGAGGTGCTCCGGGTGTTAGGTCAGAGCCCCTACTGGGGGGGGGGGGCTTTGTGCATTTGCCCTTCTAAGCAGCCATGTTGGAGCCCCCCCTGCCTCCTGGGCCGGTTCCTTGCTGCCAGGCCCACATTTGTCCCCGCCCTTCCCCGTGTCCTGTGCCCCTTGATACCTGGCGGGGCCACTGCCTCGGTGCCCAGCGCTGAGCCCGGGAGGTGGGCAGGCGGCCCAGGCACCTCTTCAAGGCCTGATACAGATGACCGGTCGCCCGCAGGGGATCGTAGTGTGCTTCAACCTCCAGGCCGCCAAGGACGCCCTGCAGCGCAAGAGGCTGGGTCGGTCCCAGGGGAAGGCAGGGGTGGGGTGCGGGTGCCCCATCCCTTTCCCGGGTTCTCCTCATTTACCTCCATTTGAGCAAGTGCTGCTTCTGACAGGTCAGCAGGGAGGGGAGGAAAGCTGCAAGGCAGGAGCAGCTCTCGGGCCACTACCGGGCGCAGCAGCAGGGAGCAGGAGTCCGAGGGCAGCAGGACCTGGAAGGTGCTGGCTGAGAGGCCTCCACTGAGATCTGGCCCAGCCCAAGCCTCGTATTTGGCAAGCAGCAGCCATTTCCTCCTCTGGAAGAGGAAAGCGATGTGCGTTGTGCCAAAGCAGAGTGATGATGCTCCTGCCTGGTGGGCGTGAGGTGCCACTGACACGCAGCCAGCAGGACAGCTGGCCTGAGGAGGCCCCCCCCTCTGCCCCAAAGGCTTGGTGGCTTCGGGGCGGTTGGCAAGGTGGCCTTTCTGGACCCCCCCTCCCCTTAGGACTCACTTGCAGGCAGTGGCAGAAGGCTTGGAAACTCTGCTGGTTGGTCTCCAGTTCATCCCAGCTCAGCTGCCAACAGCTTGTGGGCCTTACGATTAGAGGGAGACCCAAAAACATGGATGCACAGACTCCGTCAGCTTTCAGGGCCCTGCAACAGGGAAGCGGGTCACTGGGCTGCTGCCCCCATCAAGCTACTGACTGAGGATCCAGGGAGGCTGCTCAGGGAGATCTTTGCAAGGAGGCCACTCAGTGGGGACTAAGATGTCCTGCTGATGGGTGGAAATGCGCCCCCCCCAGCCAAAGTAGCCCCTGCAGCCCCTCCCTCCCCCGCCTGCCTCAGTGGGGGCTGACCCTGGAGGGAGGGGCAGGAGCTGTGCTGACCCTTGCCTTACAGATACAGTCAGTTAGGTTGAAGGTGGGTCGGAGGAAGAGGGGGGCTTATCACAAAACCCTTTTTCACTCCCTCGAAGGCAGCTTCCAGAAGGGGAGGAGCAGCCTGTGGGGAGGGGGGGAGCCGACAGATGGGCTCCAGGTGATTCAAATACTGCAGAGCCCCAAATGCTGCTATCGGTCCTTGCACA